CATAGCCAATACTGTTTTTGAAAGAACAGAATTTCGTCATTTTTTTTCTGATCTTGTCCATACTTTTTCTAGGCTTTCCAAACGTTTCCGAACTTGCCAAGTTTTTTTGCACTTCCCCTAAATTTTTCTAAAAGTAAAGGGGGAGGGGGTTAGCTAACACAATATTTTATTACAGTTTTGGTCTTTTAGCGCGTTCCGCGTATTGACTTAAATTTAGAATTTATAAAATACCAAATGCCAACGTGTGTCAGCCCCAAAGGCAGCAGCACGTCCAAGCCAACACTGAGAGTAAAGGGAAGAAGTGCATGAGAAACGAAGAATGTGAATGTGATTTTATTACTAAGACAACTATCGCTTTCACCGGAAAAATACAGCCATCTGAAACCAAAATTTTTTTTGTTCAAAAAACTTCTGGTAAAAGAGGGGCGTTTACCGGACTTTTGTAGAAAATGACGTGATGTACGCTCATTACAGCTGCTTGCTATGAAATCACGGTGAGAATACAAGACGTGAAAACAATGATACTATCTCGTTTGAGGCGACTTTTCTGATGCTTTAAGTTAAAAGTTAGCCATTCATCGGTTAGCCTTTCATTCGAGACGCGGGAAGGGGGTTGTGATAGGCGGTGAGGAGAGGGGAATGGTATGTGCGGGTTTCGCGCGCAAAGACTCGAGCCAGGGGCGGGTCGGATGAGTACACTGAATAGCTACGTGATATAGATCTTTTGGTAGATGCCTAAGCCATTTAAGGGAGAGGGAAAGGGATGGTGAATTGAAAGGAGAAAAATAAGGAAAAAGTACCAGGAAGAAAGGAAATAAAAGCAAGGAAAGTACCAGCAAGAAAGAAAGTAAAAGAAAGAAAAAAGTACAAGCAATAAAGAAAATAAAAGCAAGAAAATCAAGCGGAAGACCCCCATACGTAGGGGACGTCCCCACTCATAGAGCTGATGCTTAGACAAAGAAAGCTGAAAGCCAATAAGGTGAAACTGACGCTTAGGAAAAGCTGCGAGATCTGAGCTTTACCTAAGCATCAGCTTCATACGGAAGCTTTACCTAAGCATCAGCAAATAGATCCTTGAGCTTTACCTAAGCATCAAATTCGTCAATACGGAAGCTTAACATAAGCATCAGCAGTTTGATCCTTCAGCTTTACCTAAGCATCAGCTTCATAAGTAAGGAGGCTTTATCAGCAAAGGGCTTTCCCATTTATGAAGCTGATGCCTAGGTAAAGCTTCCGTATTTATGAAGTTGATGCTTAGGTAAAGCTCAGGGATCTATTTGCTGAA